CCCCTTTTAGGTGTGGGGTTTTTTTTTGGGGGGTTTGGGGGGGGGGGTATTGGCAAGAATCTCAATAGCAGTTTGTGTTTGCCTGTGTGGGACACTTTGACAGACTGGAGAACTGTCCATGGTGCTGGAAGAGTATTGAGCAGTAGAAGAAGAGTGACTAAATGGATGTCTACATGTTACTGCAGCACAGACAGCAGCGCTCACTCGTCTTTAACACATTTGCACCACCATTTTCACAGCTGGTGTGAGCAGTCCTACTGCAGGAAACCAAGTTAACTAAAAAACACCTGCATTTAAACACAACATGTGTAACATTGAGTTTGTCGTGACGTTTTCATGTTACTGGCCACATGTCAGACTCAGAGTAGAAACACGTGCAACACACAGAGAAATATTCCCTTCACTCTTCGTGCCGTGCAGTGGCTGTTCACACGGTGTACTTGTTATGTTTTGTTGTTGTTGTTGTATACGTTCATTGTGGTACTATGGTTCACTACAGTCTGTGGAGGAGTTTGTCCCTCAGGGCTGTTTATGTTTTTCTGCTCGGGCAAAAAAAAAAAAAAAAATGTCCTCATAAAGAGATGGAACACAGAGAAAAGTGCTTACTTATGGTTTGCACAATGGCACTATTTTAATGAATTGATAAAAAGCTTCCTCCCCCCCCCCCCCCCCCCCCCCAGGGGGTCACCTGGAGTTGTAGTAGCGCAGGTACAGTCACGTCACCGATGATACGAGTCGTTACAGTCGGTTTAAACTGCTGCCAACGTTCATCTTCTCCGTGCAGCGGCGTTAATCAGCGGCTCGTCCTCCTCCCGCCTCCTGACGGCAGAGTAATGTGGAATTATGGTGACATAAGTGATGCACACGTCCTGGTTGTGCTCCCTAACAAGGACCTTTGTGCTGCTGCGGCTCAGAGCGGGAAAAGGCGTGTGTGTGTTTGTATTCCCATGCTTCCATCTGTACCTTCTCTCTCTCTCTCTCTCTCCCTCCCTCTCTCTCTTTCTCACACTCACTCCAACACCAATAACTCCCACTTCCTCCTTTCATCCTCCATCTCTCAATCTTTACATGTTATTTGCATCTCTCACTCTCCACTCCGCCGTTCCTACACCCCCCCCCCCCCCCCCCCCCGCCCTCCCCCCCCCCCCCCCCCCCCCCCGACCCCCCCACCCATCTGCTTGCTGATACTATGATACTGCAAGTCTGACTTAATAAAGCTTGAAGTACATGTTGTCATTCCAACTGTCGATCATTATAATTATTCGGAGATGGAGCAGAGATTGGAGTGGGAGGCGAGGTCTCAGAGCAGCAGCATGAAAGCAGCAGCGCGGCTGTGGGTTGGGTTTTTTATCCACTGGGTGGGAGGGAAAATGTTGGTGTGTGCACGATTCAGCATTTTCAGAACGTATGGTATAAATATAAAATGAACACATCAGTGTGTAGTCTGTCACTAGCAGGTAAGTGTTGGACCAGGATTAGTCATCCACGAGGGTGAGTCATCTGCTGAGGTTTGACTCGGTGAAAAGTTTACAATAAAACGATGACTGTGAAAGGGTTAACCTTTAAATCTGATTAATCACAGAGTAGTTGCAGACCAGTAGGGCTGTGTATGGGCAAAAATAAATATCCATAAAAATCTCCAACAGTCTCAGAGCTGGAGTATTTCAGTCGTGACTTTTCATCGTGATGATTCAGTGAAACCACAGTGTGAATGAAGTAGAACATTTGTATCCACTTGTGAATTAACTGAAAATTAGATCAATATGTTTGGCCGAGTGACTCCTATTTATAGAAGTGTAAATGAGAGTCACTCAGCCAAACATCAGGACCCTGACCCAGGGGTTTGGAACCCTCCCTCCCCCCAAACTGCAGGATTTAATGTATTGTATATACGGTTTTATCTGATGGAATGTAGTCGTTATGAACGAGACCTTTCAGTTGGTCAACCTGGGAACTTTTTTCAGCCAAGATGAATTTCCATTTCAAAATATATGGTTGTTTTTCTGCTCAGTTAGAGCGACTTGGCATCGCGCACAGACAAAAGTGAGACTCAGTTCCTTCATCTCAGCCCGGCTTGGCTGATAGGTCTGACTGTTACGTAACTCTGTTCAAGCTGTGTTTCCATCTCTTCTTCTCTTTGGCTGAGTCTTGAAATAAAGACATTTCTCCAGAGCTTCCTTTTGTTTGCTTTGCACTCCCTATAAAGTCAGGCCTTTTTCATTTCAGTTTATCTACCTGACATGTTCTATTATCACAGATGTCCCTGCAGAAGTCGGGGGGAGCTGCTCTTTTCCAGCCACCTTAAACACTAAATCAACTCCTTTAAACAGATGAGATCAGACGCACGGTGGAGCAGCGGCTGAAACACACACAAACCAGTTAGAATTTCACCTACGCTTCATCGTGGGAACTTAGTTACCACTGGTTTAAATAATGAGGATTCTCTGGATTCTAAATTGATGTCACTTCCTGTTCCTGCAGACAGCACAGCCAGCATCTTCACGAGGCACCGGCACTTTAACCACCTGACCCAGGAACTGTACGAGCTGCCCATCGTGGTGTGGGACGGTGGAGAACCATCACTGACTGGAACCAGCACCTTGACTCTGAAGGTTTGCCCCTGTCAGCGTTACGGCCGGATCAGGACCTGCCAGAGTGAAGCCTTCCTCACCTCGGCAGGTCTCAGCACCGGGGCTCTGATCGCCATCCTCCTGTGCATTGTCATTCTACTGGGTAAGTTCTGGGAAAAACCACAGTCTGGGGGAAGGGGTGTGTGTGTGTGTCTGGGGGGGGAGGCAGATATTCTGAGGGTTTGGACAGAAGTGAAGACCTTTGAGGAGCAGAGTGTCTGACAGGGGCAGAGGAGAAGAAAGGGCTGAGAAGACGTGTGAGGACACAGGTGGAATGTGGAATGAGGGGGGAACATGTCAGAGAGAGACAGGAAGAAGGACAGAGAGCAGAGTGAGGACAAGGAGCGGTGACTGGACAGAAGTTGACCAGGCAGACAAAGAAGAAGTAGTCAGAGACGGTGGGGGTCAGTGTGGCTCAGGGAGAAACAGGGTTGGAACCCTGGAAGCTGCCAGGATTGGCCATCAACATGACAGGAAGCAGGCAGGACCAAATGCAGAACTGGAGAGACTCTTTCTGGTCCAGGCAGTTTATTTGAAAGTGCAAAGTCAGAACAACAAAAACTCACTTCTTCACGAGGCATAAACCAGACGAGGCCTGAACAGCTGAGTACAAACTAGGAACTGGAAGCATATACACTGAGCTGAGCACAGGAGCAGAGGTGATCAGATAAACACAACCAGCAGATATGAAGGGCAGCAGGTGACACAGGTGAGTGTGATGACACGGATTACCTCACACAGCAGACAGACCTGACATCAGAACCTAGAACTAGGCCACAGGATTCAGTGCAAATAAAAGAAAAAAAAAATAGTTCCAGGATCTCTGTGCTCTCTCTGTGTGAACTAGTACCAGTTCAGTGACCAGTTTGACCTCACATAGACCTGGAGACCAGGGGACAACCAGGGACCAGTGATACTGAGAACCATGTGGAACTGTTTTCACACTAAAAACAAACTAATTTTTCATTAGAACATAACTTTTATATTAAAAGTTCCAGGTTCGCTGCAGTGAAACCAGATGATGTAAAAGGCAGCAGAATCACCTCCTCCTCCTCCTCCTCCTGTAGCAGGTGTTTTTGACTGTGTATGTTGTGAGGACATGAGCTCAGGACAAGCATGGAGGAATGTGTTTGACAGCCAACACAGATTCTTCTCTTGTTGATTTCATGTGTGACGGCTGTGCTGTGCAGCATGAATACAGAGAAGAGTGTCAGAGAGTCAGGCAGTGGGAAAAAAACACAACCGGTCTGAGGAGAAGAAGAAGAAAAAAAGAATCACTCCAACATCCAGGGACAGAGGAAAAAAAACACCTCAGTGGGAGACAGGTCTCAGAACCTGATGACGTTATTTAGAGAAAATAGTTCATTAAGTGACATCAAAGATGACCAGCAGTCACAGTCAGATCAGGGCGACATGAAGACACCCCACTAACCTCCCCTCCGACCTCCTGCTCTGCTGTTCCTCTAGTGCAGTGTTTCCCAAACTTTTTTTCTGAGACCCATGTTTTAAAAGTCTCAAACCTTCGTGATCCAAGTCTACAGACTTTACTCTTAAACTCCTGGGAAACATAATGCGAGACGACCCCAGAAAAAATTTCTTGCGACCCACCTGAGGGTCGCGACCCAGTCTTTGGGAAACACCGCTCTAGTGTGATGTCATTCCTGTAAACAGATCTGATCTGCAGCAGTTATTTCTCCTCTTCTCATCATCATCATTCTTCATATTTTATTTCCGTGTAACTTCTGTCTTCCCTCCTCGTTTGTCATGATATAACAATTATAATCTTTAATTTCTTTTTTTAGTAATTAGTGGTCTGTGAGTCGTATCTCATCTGTGCATCATTTATCTCACCGTAGGTCTGGGCCAGAAGTTGGAATTAAACTGCTTAATGCGAATGCATTAATTTTCATGAACTAATTCATTGAGTACCGAACGTTTCCTGTTTTCACACAGACATTTAATTCAACTTCGTCTGTTTCAGAACATAAGACCTACGGCTGTGTTTTGGCAGGAATTTGGCAATACCGTAATTATCACAATACAGGGGCAACGATACGATATACTGCAAATTTACTGAGTTGAGGCCAGAATTTGACTTAAACCAACTCCACACAGCAGTGTGTACTTTAATCAGCTGTCCACTCTGCTGATGCTGCTGCTGCTGCCGCTGATGCTGCTGCTGCTGCCGCTGATGCTGCTGCTGCAGATGCTGCTGCGGCTGCTGTTGCTCATGCTGATGCTGCTGCTGCAGATGCTGCTGCGGCTGCTGCTGCTGCTGCAGATGCTGCTGCTGCTGCCGCTGATGCTGCTGCTGCCGCTGATGCTGCTGCTGCAGATGCTGCTGCTGCTGCCGCTGATGCTGCTGCTGCTGATGCTTCTGCTGATGCTGATGCTGTTGCTGCTGCTGCTGCTGCGTCTCCTCCTCAGTGATTGTCTGTGGACATCAGTGCGTGAAGGTTATCCATATTCATATTCAAGCCTGTGGCTCAGGCAAACAAAAGGCCATCAGTGACTGACACACACACACACACACACACACAGTGAATCATGAATCAGCAGTGACAAACCAGTTGTATTTAAAATGCTTAAAAAAATAAAGAGAGAGAAAGAAACAGGGAGAGACAGAAGCTCATCAGAGCAAAGGCTCAGTTTTCACAGAGAATTCAGAAATAATTCAGTACAAAGACTTTTCACAAACAGAAACATTTTTTGGAAAACCAGTTTCACTGACTCTCCCATGGTTGTTTGTAAACTGTTCAAAGTCAGAGCAAACAGTCGGACCAAACAGTCGGACCAAACAGTCAGACCAAACAGTCGGACCAAACAGTCGGACCAAACAGTCGGACCAAACAGTCAGTCCTGGTCACAGACACCAGCGCTAACGATGGCTGGAACAGCAGTTCAATCTAGAACGTAGATATTTGATCGATCTTCTCATTTGTAGGATCATTTTTTTGCTCATCTCCACCGTGTTTCCATATTTTTATTCCAACCTCTGTCTTTCTGTCTTTTTAATCGTCTTAATTTGCAGTAAATTTCAGAGGAACCTAATTTGACAGTAATTCTCATTTCTGTCTTTACTTTTCATTCTTTCAGTGTCTGAGTCACTGAAATGTGTTTCTTCTCATTTCCTTCTTTATTATCATTCACTTTTGTCTCATTAATGTGAAAGTTTTATCTCCGTTCTGTGTAATGAGCTGCTCTCATTAAAC